ACCCCGCCTCTCGCCCTATGACAGCTGGGATAGGCTCCAGCGCCCCCCGCAACCCTGAAAAGGAGAAGCGGAAGCGAATGGATGGATGGAATTAAAAATTGTTAAGTTATACTTTTACTTGGAGTTACAATGAATACACTACCTGGGCTGCTTTTGCACTTACATTTGACTTATCCTTTGTGACTGGATATAATGCTGTCCAGGACTCGCAAAATTTCAAAATCCCTGGTAGCCCTTCGGGCAGGGACTCTTCAGTTTTTGGTAGCCCAAAATAAATTTAAGTAGCCCGAATAAAAAAGAGAGCAATTTTTTGATTGATGTTTTGTTTCCTGTTTTGTTTCCGTTACAATATTATACTTTAATGTATAATATTGTAACGGAAACAAAACATTAATCAAAAAATTGTTGAAACGCAAATTACAACACTGTATAAAAATTACAATCATCAACTCAAATACTTGGTTCTAATTGAAAAGAAATTTCTATGAACTTGTAAGAACTGTTTAGAACATGAATCAGTCTGTGTCAGATCCTGAATTTGAAATTTCCACTGAAGTCACGGGTAAGAGGCAAGTGGAACCAAGATCTAGGCCCTTTGCTTTTTGAAGTTTGCAAAGACTGCTAAATTTTGCCAGTGGTAGTTCACTCTTTGCAACATAGTACGCTGTTCTAAACAGATTTTTCAGGTTTATTTTTAGTATGTTATTTGCAATTGGTGTTTGTTCTGGGAAAGATATTGCAGACTGAGCAATAATGCATTTCTTGCATTTCTCATGGGTTCTAAAGGGGGCCCTTCTTAAAATTACTGGTCCCAGTAACAAAGGCGTTGTTGACTCAGAAATCGAGGGAAAACCAACAACACACCCGGCAAAACATTATGTTATTTACACGGGTGCACATAAGTGGTCCGCAGGTGCGCATTCGCTGTCAAAATAAAAGACGCGCACCAGATAAGAAGTTGCAACGCGCGTTTGCGTCCATATAAAAGGCACTGTTTTTGTCCGCTAGAGTGGGATTTTCACGGCACATTCTGCACCACATCGCTGTGCGTTCATCATTTGTTTGAAGCCAGCTCACCTCCTGCAACCACTTTTCCGAGAATACGCACTTCTTTTATGGTTCGGACTCCTTCTGACATTTCTTTGGAGGTGGAGGAACACCAAAGTAATTGAGGAGGAGCTTGCTTCTTCGACATCTTTAAGAGTTCTAAACAAATGTCTGTCCTCCTCCAGAAAATCCTATGTGCGCAAACACGCGTTGCAACTTCTTATCTTGTGCGCGTTTTTTATTTTGACAGCGAATGCGCACCTGCGGACCACTGATGTGCAGCTCTGGTTATTTAGCTTGTCATATTGCAGCCACAGAAATTCTTTTGTCCATGAAACCATAAAGCTGCACCAAAACATTTTTTCTATAATATAATTTATATCTTTATTGCAAATTTCCTTGAAATGTTGTGAAATGATCGGTAGTCACCTGAAATGGTTTTCCAACAGTCTTGAAGGAGTTCCCAGAGATGCTGAACATGTGTTGGCCCGTTTGCCTTCAGTCTGCGGTCCATTTCATCCCAAACCATCTTAATTGGTTTAGATCAGCTGGTCCTACCAAATGTAAACCAGATGGGATGGAATGTCGCTGCAGGATGCTGTGGTGGCCAAGTTGGTTCAGTGTGTCTTCATTTTGGAGTAAATACCCAACAGTGTCACCAGCAAAGCACCCACACAACATCACACCACCTCCTCCGTACTTCACGATGGGAACCATGCATGTAGAGATGATCTGTTCACCTTTTCTGCGTCACCCAAAGATGGAACCAAAGATCTCAAATTTGGATCTCAAATTTGGACTCACCAGACCAAGCACAGATTTCCACTAGTCTAATGTCCATTCCCTATGTTTCTTGGCCCAAACAAATCTCTTCTGCTTGTTGCTTTTCTTAGTAGCTTGCCTGAACAGTTGGCGAAGAAATGTGTCTAGTAGAACTCTATGTGGCATTTATCTGCTCTAATCTGTTGTGCTGTTAACTTGTGGTTTCTGAGGCTAGTGACTCGAATGACTTTATCCTCAGCAGCAGAGATGACTCTTGGTCTTCCTTTCCTGGGGCGGTCCTTGTGTGAGCCAGTTTCGTCATAGCGCTTGATAGTTTTTGCGAGTGTACTTGGGGACACAGTCAAAGTTTTAGCAATTTTCCTGACTGACTGACCTTCAGTTCTTAAAGTAATGATGGACTGTCATTTCTCTTTACTTAGCTGATTGGTTCTTGCCATAATATGAATTCTAACAGTTGTCAAATAGAGCTGTCAGCTGTGTACCGACCTGACTTCTGCACAGCACAACAGATGGTTCCAACCCCATTAAGAGGGCAAGAAATTACACAGTGAAACGCTGACAAGGCACAACTGTGAAGTGAAAACCATTTCAGGTGTCTACATCATGAAACCCACTGACAGAAGACCAAGGTTTTGCAGTGCTGTCAACTGTCCACACAGCCTTTCAGTCCCACCAAAAAAAAGCATTGGCACAACCAAATGATAGCTATCAGTACTGCTCTTTAAGTGTATCATTGTTTCCTTTTTCTTCTGGAGGATCGAGGATCCAGATGAAGCAGAGGACCACTTCATAGTTGCAAGATCCAACTGCAAAGCCTTTGCCTTTGTCCACATAGCACATGCCCAGTTTGAGGTCTCTCAAGGTATTTAATTTTCTGGAACTACATTCTCAAAACAAAAAGCTGAAAATAAGGAGCAACTCATACAAATAAGGACATTGTTTTGCACAACTTCAAGACTCCTCCCTGAGGAATTTAAATTTAAAGGTGGCACCACTTTAGAAAAATAATAGGTAGTCCAGAGATGCAATGTACTGCTGTAAAAGCAACTAATTAAGTCGGTGCTTTAGAAAAACAGTATTGCCATAACTGAAGCCAGTTGCAGTAGTGTAACTTTATTACAGAAAGATCCTTGTAATCAGTAATCACAATGTCTTTAATAAATGTCTATCTCAGTGTAATCTGTTACAATAAGGTCCCATATACACCTGGAAGGAACATCATTTTTGTCTAGATCTGATCGACGGATCACTATGTCTGCATAGTTTATTCAAAATGCATGCCAAACATTTGCTATCGAGTGAAATGTTTTGTCTGTATTTTCTGTTGTTTAGCCATAAGAATGTCTACTAATCAATCAATCGTTCATTAAAACATAATTGAAGTGCCATTTAGTTATGCCCCTACTATCTTCTTTTTAGGTAATGTCGACAAAGCAACTTCAATTCTGCACAAAGCCCACACTTTAAATGCGAAGCCAGCCGAGCTCCTGGACATGGCCATACATAACCTTAAAGCTGGAGAGAAACGGCTACTGCCCACCAGTGAGGAGGAACCTCCCACAGGTAGAGATTTAAGTCAGTTCATTGTATGGGTCAAAACTTGAACATGCTTTTAAATTAAATTTAAATACATTGTTATTTTTTAAATGCATTATATATTTTCCAAATTTCTTTTAGATTTGCAAGCAAGTGCTCCCATAATGTCTGCATGTGGTGGAATCCAGGAAGTACAGCTTCCTGCTCGGGTCCCTGTCAGACGTTCAGTAGAGCAGCCTAAACCTGCGAGCAGGGAGCCTTTATCGGAGTGGAAGATCCCAACTTCCATCAACCGTCATGTTTCTCCTGAGGTCTGATGGCCCTTTTTAAATCTACTGCTAAATTTTTAGATACACAGATTTTAGTTTGTTTTTTCTACATGCAAGCTGGTGTTAGCTTTTGTCTTCCCTGTGAAATATCCAAAGACTTGGTGGGTGTTTATTATCTTCACTCAGAACATGTATGTAAACATTTATTTTGGTTATGTCTCAAAACCTTAAACGTTTTTTTGTTGTTGTTGTTTTTTTCCCTTATAAGGTTAAACAGACAACGCCCCCTGAACCTAGACCCATTCCTCGTCTGGCAGAGTCTTTCCTTACACCATCCCTCCAACTTCCATCCAAAGTTTACTCACAAACAGTCTGTGAAACACCTAACAGCAATAGATATCCAGCTGCTAACAGGTAATACTCTGACTTGGGTATTTGTGAAATCTCTCTTTAAATATGCAGCATAAGCAAAAGTGTTTTTTCATATCTGTAATTCTGCTCTTTAGTTTCCACTGGGAACGGTATTTAAATATATGCTTTATTGTAAGGTTCTAAATAGTTGCACTAAAATCAATTCTACTTCAAATCAATAAGCTAATACGTTTGTATTCTAGAATATTTCTATTGAAATAAGATGTCACACTCTGCATGCCTGTATTTGTCTCCTCTCAGCTTCATTACTCCTGTTGTAAAGAGAGGGCCTGAAGTGTCTTCCTCTGCAGCAGCGGCACACAGAGCTGGGCCTGCTCAGCAGCCATGCACACCTCTAAATCAAACGCTGTGTGCCCAGACACCACAGGTATATGTTCATGCCCTCCTTTTGGTTTTGTCTTATACATTAAAAAAAAAACCAACAACATACTGTGGAGTTTTGGTTTGGTTTGGTTTGGTTTTGTTTTTATTTAAAGATTTCAGATGTGTGTGGGGAAAAGCACTTGATAGTATAAACATTTTTTTCCAGCTTGACTGAACAGTAAACAGTCACTTGAATGCCAGACAGAGTTCAGTCAGTCCAGTCAGTTGGAAATATCAGCAGTAATTTAAATACTACTCTCAACTTTAATGAGAAAATGTATCTTTGTTTGGATCTCATTTTAGGCTTCCCTCAGTGTGTTGTCCAATGAATCCATTACGATTAAGGGGAAGCAGTTCTTCATTCTGAAGATGATTGGACGCGGGGGATCGAGTAAGGTAACAACAGTGTTAAGGAGTTCCCATAATGCCAAAAACATTTCACCACAGTCTGACAGTCCAGTTGGCCTCTAATCTTGTATTTTAAACAACTGCTTGTTTTCCCCCTCCAGGTCTACCAGGTGCTCGATCATAAAAAGCAGCTGTATGCAGTGAAATATGTGAACCTCGAGGAGGCCGATGCCCAGACTATAGAGAGTTACAAAAATGAAATTGAACATCTGAACCACCTGCAGCAGTACAGTGACCAGATTGTAAAGCTCTATGACTAGTGAGTGCACAGCCTATCCAGAAATTATTTTTTAAATTAGGCACCCTTTTTTCTATTGTTTACCTAAAGTTTACATCTCTGCCTCAATAAATGTCCTGATGGTTGTGTTTTATGTGGGTTGTGTTTGTTTCTTTCAGTGAAATAACCAACAGCTACATCTACATGCTGATGGAGTGTGGAAACTTGGATCTGAACACTTGGTTGCGAAACCGCAAAACTGTGAACCTTCTAGAGAGGAAGTTCTACTGGAAGAACATGCTGGAGGCCGTCCACACCATCCACAAACACGGTTCATTTCTCTTGTGCCTCTCACTATCAGTTGACTACCACTTTCAGAGTTGTTCAAATGTCATAAATGTCATAGTAACTGATGGTCACTTCTAACCACTGCGTGTGTGTGTGTGTTCTGTATAGGAATTATCCACAGCGACTTGAAACCAGCTAACTTCGTCATAGTGAATGCTTCGCTGAAACTGATCGACTTTGGCATCGCAAACAGAATCCAACCAGATGTAACGAGCATTATGAAGGATTCACAAGTAAGTCATACTAATTAATACACTGAACCTCTCGCGTGTCATGTCAGCTTGGGTCCCACGCAATCAAACTACAAAGGAATGAAATTGCTGGAAAACAATCTGGTGGACTCTAGTAATGATATCTGTGCTAGACTGTCCAGTATAGCCTGATAGTCAGACATTTTCTGGTTTGCATGGTCAATGTCAGCATACTTTCAGTCACAGGCTACAAATGGTATCTGTTCCAGAGTCTTTCAGATAAGATAGATGGAGGGCCCATGGTCAATTCTTCCAATAGACCAGCAGATGTTTTGACATCGCTGGAAAAAGCACAGATGAATTAATAACACAGATGTATGAATGAGTGCATTCCACTAAGGCGCGACCCAGATGCTTGTTGGCCTGTGATCATGGCCTACTGGGAAAGCTAAAGCAACAGAGCCATTGTTAAAGAAATTTGTTTCACCTGTGTGTTTTTGGTTTTTTTCTTCTTCTTCTTTTGCTTTAATAAATCAAAATGTCTGCAGGGGTGGTGTCCTAAGTATATTGTAGCATCTTTGAAACAACCTGCTGAAGTTCAAAAAACAGAATGGTCTTTAAAGGAAAGAGAGAGAGAATATCTAGCGAGCGGCTTTTCGCTGGGTAAAAATGCCAATCAGATGAAGGCTGAAGCAGAGCTAAAATGGCTCTCTTCAGACACTGGATGAAGTCAGGGATTGTACAAAGATCCCGTAGAAGATACAGAAGAATGATTTTGAACTTCGAACCATGCAAAGCAACTCTAAATGAGCATACTGTGAGGGACAACAGAAAATGCCAGTTTTCTAATTTAAGTTCAGTTAAATAAGTTGAAGCTGCAGCTCAGCCTAAGGATGTCAATCAGTTGGGAAAAATGGCTTAACATGTGTAACACGTAATCATTTGTCAACACAGGTAGGAACTCTGAACTATATGCCCCCTGAAGCCATCAAAGACACGTCATCCCAGACAGGAAAAGCACGCTCAAAGGTGTGTTACTTTCGTTTTTACTGATTTGACAGAGTCACTAACCAAAACGAGAATGCAACAGCAGGTAAGACACCTTCTGCTAATTTCGTTCGACAGATCAGCCCCAAAGGTGACGTGTGGTCCCTCGGATGTATCCTGTACTGTATGACTTACGGGAAGACTCCGTTCCAAAGCATCACCAACCAGATCAGCAAGCTGCACGCCATCATCGATCCCTCCCATAAAATAGAGTTTCCTGACATCTCGGAGAAGGATTTGCTCGATGTGTTGAAGGTGAAATGATGCCGTAGATGGGACTTCTGTGTTACAGTTTTACACACATTAAAATGAGAATCTGTCCAATCAATTGTTGATGAGTCTTTATTAGAAGTGTTACTGCGGTCATGTAAAATAAAAATATTCAGCTTTTGTTTTGTTTTTTCCTTTTACCAGAGATGCTTGGTACGAAACCCCAGAGAGAGAATTTCCATTGCAGAACTGCTGGAGCATCCGTATCTGCAGCTCAAACCACAAGCATCACCTGAACCAGGTACATGTACATCAATCAGTAACAAGTTTGTGTACTAAGAAGATGCCAGGTTAACGTTAGAAATTCACCTGTACTCTGTTCCAGAATATCCTTCTAACAACGATCTTAAGAAGATCCTGACAGACCTCGCCGCCCTCCAGTCTCCAAACAGCATCATTCGAGCTGCTAATGTAAGAGTAACCTCCCAGAATTTCTTCTCAGACTTCTTAAACAAGTTTCTGAAGCGCTAACTTTGCTCTCTCATCGTCACAGAATTTGGCAAGAATGTGCAGCAGTGGCAGGAAGCTGGATGTTGCAGAGTGTGCAAAGTCATCATCTTAACTGCCCTGGAAAATGTGTTTTGGCTGATTTGGTTCTTTTAAACCACTCATAACCACTAAAGTTTCCCTTTTTTGTGAGATAAACAAAGCAATATCTTTGTTTTTCTTGAAACAAAATAGCACATTGTTTCATTTTTACTCATTAGTAAATATAAGCACAAGCCATTTAGCCATCATTAAAACTACTTAGTATTGTGTGGTTTAAATCACCAAAAGAACCCCCCCAAAAACTCTGACTTGTAGTCAGAGATGCCAGACATTTGGCAGTGACTCATTTGGATCCTGTCGGTTGCAGGATGGACTTTCAGTCCCATGGGAATTGACTGGCTTGTTTCAGTGCATCCTGTGAATGCTGTTTCAGATTCTGGGGAGATCAGGAAAAAACATTGTGTCTGTGTGTTTTTGAACCCTTCCTGAGCAGTTTCAGGGAGTGCTGTTGCCATTACAGGATGTGCTTGGTCTGCAACAGAATTTATGTGGGTAGTACCTTTCAAAAATCCACACGAATGGTAGAATCTCTAAGTGTTACTCACTTAAGTTTGTTTTAATGTTTTGGCTTATCAGTTTGTGCAGTATAGTATAATCCAATAAACGTACTGTATTGTACCATAAGAGTTTGTGCTTTGTTTATTTCCATTGACATGTAGGAACTTTTTTTTCTTGAATCTGAATCTTCTTCCTGTGAGGGCAGCAATACTATCGAGTTGTAATACAAATGCTTTACACACAAATGTAGAAATTTTCATACACTAATGTAAAAAATACTTACATACTTACATTTGTACCCTGCGTTGATAAATAAACTATAAAATAATATATGAAATACATATGAATATATAAATGAATTACATTACAGGGAACTGTACGGAAGAGGATTAGGGCCACTGGGAAAAAAATCGAATTCAGGAAAAGAAGAAAAAAAAAAAAAAAGACGTGCCCTTTTTTTTTTCTTTTTTTTTTTCCAGTGGCCCTAATCCTCTTCCGTAGAATTGAAACTCGGCGTCTAGTGAACGATTTTAGACACCTGTACGTACTGCGCACACCACCCTCCCTTTTGACCAATCACGGCCTCACTCGCTGAAGCAGGAAGAAAAGAAGAGCTCTCACTCCGCCACTATTCCCAGAAATCACAAAGAGCGGGGTCTCTCCTACTCGTATTCTAATGAGTATACCAATAGCTTCTAAAACGTTAATATAGAAATATTTGTTTTAAACAAGCTGGCATGAAATCTCTCCGCGTCGTTTACTGAAGCTTTTGGGAAAGTCCCGGAAGTTGATCGGGAGCGAAACAATTTAATAGACGATCTTTAGTCGTAGGCTCATTTTGCCCTCTCTGTTCACTCATAACAACAGTGATGGCGGCTGCTGCTCGGCTCTTCATTCGAGGTGCAAACTCGAAACTTTCCATCGCTCCCGGCTCTCTGGGGACCACGCTGCTAAAACTGTCGCCGAACTGCAGCTCCCGCACAAAAACACAACGAAGGCATGCGGCACACTTTACCTTTCAGCCTGACCCCGTCCCGTCTCAGTACGGTGAGTGTTTGGCTAACCGGCTAACATGGGGGAGCGGGTCGTGTTGATACCGCTGGAATGTCCTCAGTTCAACCGAGAAATAAGCTGTCACCGTGAATTACACCGTGTATGGTTAAAGGGCGTGAAGCAGCTGCACGTGGGGTTTTCTGTTTACTTGTTAAGTCAGAGCAAAAATTTCTGGCACAACTTCACCTACTTCCAAGGTGCATGGAGAGAATGAAAGAATTCACAATGCAGGAACTTCAGCAACACTTAAGGGAAGACTTTAAGTCTTGTGGCCTTCATCAGGGTCTTGTGACATACTGTATTGTGACATACTGTCACTGTTGTTCATCTTCCCGTAAGTGTTGCTGGAGTTCCACCTTCATCTTCCTGTTGTGAAGCTGTCCTCATCATGGAAAGGATCCTACAGTATTATCCTCTCCTCTGTTGACGGCAATGCTCACCAGTGTGTTGTTGGTGGTGTTTTTTTTAAATTATTATTATTATCATTATTCTAGAATAATCCAAAATAGGGATTTGGACATTTTATGTTTAATGCAGTCTCTTTGTTTAGGCCCCCCAAAGGATGCTCTGTTTCACTTACATGAAAAGCTCGTGCATCTTATGGGTTCATAGCCACAGCGTTCATACGACTTCTTGCAAATGGGTCCAGTCTTTTTACCTCGTTAATGAATGCTGAAATAACAAAGCAATAGCACACACCATTGCAGAAAACAGCCCTCGACTTACTTGTTGCCAGACAAGTGAAAGATTTCTGGTTTGATGCTGGGAGGAGACACTGTCTCTTTTCTCAGGAAGGGCACGTGGTGTAAAACTGAGAAAGTAAAACATTCAAAGCTACCTGCTGCTACTAAGGAAGTAACTAAAAATGTATTTAATTTTTCCTTGTAGTGTGATCTAGTCCCAGGCTCTAAGCTGATTGCTTATTCTATAATATACTTTTACTTGATCTAGAATCACAACATGGTACTGAAAATTGTAGGTGGGAATCACCTGACACCCCACAACACAATATTATCACAATACTTTAATCCAAATTTTTAACATTTTGCAATAATGGAGTATTTCAAAACATAAAGTTCAATTTCACATTGTTTCAACTGCAAATTATGTACTCAGAGTTAAACTTTTTCAATATCTGTCTTATCCAATAAAACAATGTTATCAGATTTTAGTTATTTTGTTTTTTGTTGTTGGAAAAAAAAGATGGCGTCAGTCTACTATCAGTCTGCAATTCAGTGAAGTCAAGTTGCCAACTCTTGAACATGTTTTTAATAATACAGCAATTAACTGCTATAAATCCTCATAAATCACATATCTGTTGTTGTCTGTATGGACAGAAAGTCACATTTCACTACTCGATTTGTGCTCATCAGCCTCCCTTTTCTGTAGGAATATAACCAGAATACAACCAGCTGGTAGCCAGTTGGCTCAGGTCCTATCGAGTTGTGCTCATTGATAAACATTCATTCAGATTGATGGCAACATGGTGGCAATCTGTCTGCGTTTATAAATTAAACAGCAGTTATTTGCAAACCTTCGACAACCTTTCTAAGAATGATTGCAGCTGGTTCGAGTCAGACCGCAACTATTTGCAGAAAGGTTGCCTTCTTTCAAGCGAGTTGAGCCCTCTTTTTCGTTGTGCTTAATTTATTTATTAAAATATCCATATTTAGCGTGCCTGTGTCAAAACAATATCACAATGTTGTAATATATAATTGTAAATATATTGTAATCAAATATTGTAAAACCATGCTGTATCAATTTTTTTTTTGCTTTTTTTCCTTTCCTGCCCTTGTTGAAAACATGCTATTCTTTTGTGTTCTTTATTTTGTAACACAGTGTGTATGCCATTGAAAACAGGAAATCAAATCACAGTTGATGTGTTTTTCCTGCAGTACCTGTTCTGTTGAGGCCTAGTTGTGTAAAACCATTAAGACATATGTAATTTTTTTTGTGTGAAGTTCTTCATTTTTTTTTTTTTTTATTTAATTGTTTCACCTTAAGGTCCTACCCAGAAGATGAACTTGTTCCAGTCCATTACGAGTGCCTTGGACAACACTCTGGCCAGCGATCCTACTGCAGGTAAAAGGCACACAGACACACTCTGTAAACCTCCAGGCTGCCTAACAATCATGAAAGTATGAATCAAGCTGTCCAAGTTATTGAAATCTAAAACATTCAAAGTGGCTTAATCTAAGGAGTTTTCAGTATTTTTCACTCTTGCGTACTTGAGCACTAACGGTGCTGACTGTATTGTACTCTTGTTTCTCTGCAGTCATCTTTGGGGAAGATGTCGCCTTCGGTGGAGTGTTCCGATGCACAGTGGGGCTGAGGGACAAATATGGTAAGATGCTGCTTTCTAGTTTAACGCTGACCTTAAAACAAACAAGGTTTACCTGATTTCAGCGATGCATACCAATGCACGGCATCACAAAAAATCATAAAAAAAAATTCCCCCCCAAAGTTGTTCTTGGTTGGTATATTGGTGGTAAGGAACATAATTTCAAGCTATCTTAAGTCAGCCTTTTTCCTCATTGACGTTTGCTTGTTTTGGCTCATGGAAGGTGAAGTTCAGGCAGCTGAACAATGGGTGCTCTGTCAGCATTGTGAAGTATTGAGTAACCATTCTTTTTCCCTCTGTTTCTGCTCCATTGTTTAAAGGTTTTTCACCTTGACTATTACAATTACGAGCATCATTGGAAAATAATCTCAAAAACAGCCCCTTGTAGTCTTGGAAATAGTGCAAAGTCCACTAAATCATACACTTTGACCAAAGACTGACTTGTCTTTAGGTTCTTCAAATACATAGTAGACATTAAGAATCCCTCTCAAAAGTGACACCTGAATAGTTGAAAGGGGGAAAAAAAATGTTAGTAACCTGTTGTCGGTGTGATTTCTCGCCACTAGATGGCAGCAAAACACTGCTGAGAATCTCACAACCCACTGCTCTGGGAAGGGCCTGTTACTGCCTAGCCTTCACCCAGAGGACCAGCATGAGCTACTGGCACACGTGTCAGTTGTTGTAGGGGAAGCCTTACAATGAGCTGATATAGTATGAAGCTCGCTGTTATAAGTTTTGTTTTTGGGGCTCATTATTTTCTCTGAAGTTTTCTGATATTGTTAAATAGCGCACTCAGAATCCTGCAGGGCGTTCAGACAGATCCTGGTGAAGAGGATCTGGCCTGTATGGAGTCTCAGTGACAGCTGGAGAAGCACAGGTGTAATGTATAATGCAGTCAGTGGACAAGATATACTGAGACATTTGGCACTGAAATGCAGAGCTCCACAGACATAAACACTGTTTTGTGACACCCATTATTATATTTGTTTAAGCAGTTAAAAAATAGTTTTTATCACAACTATTGAATTCATTAACAGTATATTGTAAGAAGTTTTAAAAATTGTAATTTTAATCTTGCCTGATCGTTGAGATCCAGATCCTTAAAGAGTGTAATGCTACAGCTCTGACAGTCAACATTTTAACTTGTAATAGACAGAAAATAACAGGTGTCAATAATAATGTTAATGATGCCTCTGTTCCATTTTTAATCAAGTGTCCATGTAACCTGTGACAGACTGCCAGGCAATGAGAGGACTGTGGGGGTTTTTTGTTTTTGTTTCCACACTTGTTGTCTGTTCAGCTTTAATCCTGCAACTTCTCTGGTAACAATGTGCTCACACTGGACTTTTGTCATGACCTGACTCCTCACTTTGAATAGGATTGGCTCACCTTTATATTGATTTCCAGTAGACTATGAGCTGTGGCTTTTATATCAGCTCAGCGTATTAGGGACCTGATAGGGACCTGATTGATGTCATAGAAAGCCAAGAGTAGGAAACAAAAATTACAGCAGAGCTAAGCCTAAACTTCCAGCAGTCAAGGGTTACTTGCACAGATGCTGACCTCTTGATTTGAAATTTTGGCCATATTTACAAACACCACTGCAACATAATATACAGTATGTGATGGAAAATGAGGAATAGCTTAATAAGTCTGCTGTAATACCCATAATTCATAGATGCCTTGTGGCACATTGCTGTCTAAATCTAAATCTGATTCACAAGAATTTACA